TCCTTCTCTCTCTCTCCCTCCCTCCCTCCCTTCTTCCTTCTCTCTCTATCCCCCTCTCCCTCCCTTCCTTCTTCCTTCTCTCTCTCCCTCCCTTCTTCCTTCTCTCCATCCCTCATCCTCCCTCTCCCTCTCTCCCTCCCTCCGTCCCTTCTTCCTTCTCTCTCTCTCTCCCTCCCTTCCTTCTTCCTTCTCTCTCTCCTTCCCTCCCTCCCCCCAACCTCTCTGTCTTGCAGAATACCAACAAGGTTTCCACGAAATGCTGCTGCTCTTCAGGCTGCTTGTGGAAAAGGAGCACGAGATCTATTGGCTGTTTCAGTTTTTCCTACAAAAAACAGTGAGCCGGAGTCTCTTTGCTGTTGCTGTAATCATCATTACATGATTTGCTTTGGTTCAGTTGTCCAAGGTCTTTGCATTCCTTGATCGAGTTCCCTTTCCTCAAACTTTTTGTTTGTCAGGAGAACAGCTGCATCATAAATGTTGGGGTGCCGAAGAACCTGGTCATTCTGAAAGCCTTGATTGCATTTATGGATCCAATCTTTGCAAAACACCTGGGTAAGTTTTGCAGCTTGGCAGAGTTAGATCAGATGCTGTTTCCTTGTCTGCCCAAGAGTGTAAAAGCCAGAAGATGACCAGAAACTTCTGGTGATTTCCTAGGCAAAGGTTTAGTTTATTCATTCATGCACTTCTTCAGAAAATTTATATGGCTGCCGATCTTAAATGCATAATCTTGAGTAGTGGAAGGGAAGGGAAAGCGTGAAAGAAAGGGTGGAGGGAGGGAAAAGGAAGAGAAGAGAAAGGAGGGGAGGGAAGAGGAGAGGAGAGGAGAGGAGAGAAAAAAAAGAAAAGAAAAGAGAAGAGAAGAGAAGAAAAGAAGAGAAGCCTTTTATCCACACAATATATTTTTCTTTCATCCTAGAAATGTGTAAAAGCACTTTTAAAAAGCCAAGATCAGCACAGCACAACATTGGCAAAATCTTAAGGGTTCATTAAACTTATCTTCCAATTTTCTTCCAGGAGTCAAAAGGGCAGGAAAAGATGTTTTTTTTTCTTCCTGACTGTTTTGATAGTGGAAGACTGGATCCACAGGGCATAAACCTTAGTCCTTTGTGTGCATGTGTGTGCATTTTTTTTTCATTTTTTTTTTCCAGAATCAAAAGGCCAGGTGGTGTCGTCATTGTTTCCTTGGTTCTGTCTCTTTTTCCAGCGTGTCTTCAAGTCTTTTGAGGATGTCTGGAGAATGTGGGAGGTAAGTATTTCCTGATATAGAGTCCAGCAAAAAAAAAATAGACTAGAAGGGAATAGAATAGAATTCTTTTATTGGCCAAGTGTGATTGGACACACAAAGAATTTGTCTTGGTGCAAATGCGCTCAGTGTACATAAAAGAAAAGATACATTTGTCAAGAGTCAAAATCTGACTTATCTGACTGTGTTGCCTTTGTGCCACGGCCCGGGTCATCACAGTAAGGGTCTCAAACCCAGGCTATCAACTTTCCAGCTGGCAAACTCGAGGTCTTTAAACCACTGAGCCATCACACCCCTAAATGGATTTGTTTCCCTGATTTGTAGAAACAGTTTGGCCCAAGTCTTCTGCCCAGAAACCCCATGAGAGAACTCCGAAAGGCCATTGCTATCCAACTCTCCTCAAAAGAGACGAGACCTACAAGAGGAAAGCTGTTCAGAGATCTTGGCACTTTGGTGCCAGAGATGAGATCATTCCAGCTGCTAGGGTCAAAAAAAAACAACATTTTGGAGCGGGCCCAGGAAATACATCAAAGAATTGGATTGTTTCTTCCTAGAAACCAAATGAGGGGTGTATATATATGTGTGTGTTTGGGGAGATTTCCTGCTGTGAGGCTCTTTTTTTCATGCCCAGCTGATATTTTTATGAATAAAGGTAAACATTCCAGAAGGTCCGTAAACTTTCTTTGCATTCTTTCACAAGGCAACTGAATTCTGGGAAAACGCTCTATTCCTGTTAAAGTCTCACCTCTTGGACTTGGTACACATTCTCAGAAGACCGATAATGTTTGTGCCTTGCCACCTAGCTGGATTTAGAGTCCTTTCCAG